TGTGACACCAGTTCGTGCTGAAGGTGACGTTAAGCTTGTAAACATACTTATGCCGTACCGGGCCTTTGTTGAAACATGGGATTCACCGACAATTCTGTTGATGCTGTAAAGTATTCAAACACAGCATAAAGTACTTATTTGTACACGAGGCAAGCAGTATGGTCAATCGTATGATCGACAGTGCTGATCATTTATCCGGTAGATCATACTGTTTTTCACTGTGTATAAATAAACCGAGTCTTAAACTGTTTTTCAATAATGACCAGAAATGCACGAACGAAGTACTCAATCATCGGATGCAAGAAATTGTTCACTGAATTTCGTTTAGGTTCCTGTACTAAATGGCATTTTTTCATCGACGACGTTACGAGTTTATTTATTCTAAATAACTACTTATCAGGTAGGGTTAATTTTTCTAATTTCGCTGCTACCTATAAAGTTAGGAAAGAAATGATGGCTTTTAAAATTAAAATTGCCTATAATCTTATGCGTTAAATAAAATCGTCTCAAGTATTATTCATAAGCTAAGAGGTGGCCTAACGGTAGGACGCAAGAGAGCATCGTGTTTTTTAGCGAAGGTGTGTAGCGATTCGCTTATGATTAGATTAATTTCATTGTGATGTCTGTAACAGTTCGGTAAGGGTCGTTACTCATAGATTGACGAGAGTTTTCAAGGTTTGGACAACTATGCCACACTGTCCAGCAGCGGTTAATGTAGCTGCGTTGGTAATTTCAGGTTTTCAGAGATTTTCTTATCTGACCAGTGTGAGCGCAGTTATCATCACAATTTCTTATTTTAAAGTTTAGTGTACAATAAATTGTATACAGAAAGAGTAGGCACAGTTTTACAAAAGGTGTACCTTGATGACGCATGAATGATGAGGTGAGAGATAAAATGGGAAAAGAATATAAAGAATGCTGTGCTACGCCGCAAAGAACAAACAAAATAGGAAAGGAAAAATCAATGAAGAAAAAAAGTGAAAAGGTGGATTGAAAATTAAATGAGGAAAATAAAATAGGGGTTTGGGGAAGGGAAATGGGAGCTGATAAGGGTTTGCCGTTACGGAGTCCGTCGTGAGGGGGGGGGGTCAAGGTTGATACTGTCTGAGTGCATTTTTCCGTTTCGATTTATTCTCCGTCCCATTTTTTGGTGATCGGTTGTGGCTCGCTGCTGGGTGTATCTTGGTCGACGGCATTCTCCCGGTGGCCAGGGCCTGTGTTTGAAAAGTAGATTTCGGCTTGAGACCTGGAGGATCTCCGCGATGGCAAGTTTGCGCAGTAGACCTATGTGCCGCGGCCCGACTCCTAAGAGCCGGAGTACGAGGTCGTTTTTTGGTTCCCATGAGTCCAGTGCACCTAAGAAGAGCGTTTCGCCGGTGATCCGGAAGTCCTGTTGAGACAGGGGGACGGCTTCGGGTGTGTAGTGCGCGATCTTTCTTTGCCTGGCCGCGTCGAACGCTCCCTCCCATTTTTAATCTGGATGGTCACTTCGACTTTGACGACTTTTTTGTTCACTTTTCAGTCACCACTATGTCCGTTCGATTGCGGGAGCCGATGATATGGAGCACTAGGTTCACTGTTCTTTGGGGTCCCTTCTGGCCGATTTCGGGATGCCCTTTACCATTCGGTTGAGCAGTTTATTGTGGCGATCAGTATACATCGTGCCGTGTTTATTGTGGCAGTGGCAGAGCGTATATGCGGTAAAGGGAAGGCATCTGCCTGAGCACCGGAATAAGTTGAAGTCCTTGCAGAGACTCATGCACATGATCGTTTCCCCTGACTGGCTGCTCTCGAAAACGACTGATGTAGTCGTTTCTGAGTAGCTTCTTGGAGCCTCCGATGATGAGTCTCGGTGTTGGTTTTGAGATGTATGTGGAACTTTCGTAGTCACTGACCACGAGCGCTTGCTCTTCCATCTGTCCTTCTACGCGGATGTTGATCTACTTGTTAAGGTACCGTAGCTGCTTGCTCAGGTCCATCCACATGTTGGTCGTGGTAGATCCAGTTAAGACGTTGGAGTCGGCCTCGTGGAGGAAGTCGCAGATATCCGCTGTGGAAACGTCCTTCAGGCGGTTATGGATGAACGCTAAGACGGTGTGTCAGAGTTCCGCGGTGGCGAACGATCTGTCCTTCGGTGAGGCGGTCCTGAGTAGTCTAAAGACCTTCGACACTGAGCAGGGCATGGTCATCTCGGGAAGAGGGGAGCTCGCAACCTCTTTCTGCCATATGACCAAAGGATGGAGGCGTTC